GCCGTCCGCTCTCGCGCCGCCTGACGCTGAGCAGCCCGGTCTGGGCTTTCAACGCGGCCGTGGCGCTGGCGGTGCTGGTGGCCGCAGGCCTCGTGGTCTCGGGCGTCTACATTTTCTTCCTCATACCGCACGCCGCCTCATCCTCCTCCGCGCGCCCCCAGCTGGTGGCGCTCGCTTCGGCGCCGGGCTTCTCCTTGTTCCCGCCGCAGCCGGCGCCAGTCGCACCTTGGACGCCCACCTGGACGCCGCGGCCTGAGCTGGACGCTACTGTGCTAGGGGCTGGGCAGGACGCCCCCCAGCCCGAGGCAGAGCCCGCTGGGGGCGCCGAGGACCCGATGGAGGCTGACCTGGGGCTGGACTGAGGCTTGGACTAAACGTGGGGGGCGGCAGCTGGCCCTGGCTCATCTCCGCGGGCGAGAGGGGGCAGGAGAGTGTGGGGGAGGCAATGAACACACCACCGTACCAGGGCCGTCTCCAGGCCTAGCCAGGCGAACCTTCAAGCCGTTACTCTAGTGGGGGCCATAGCGGGGTGCATTGCAGGCAGCCATCCCCTAGAACCGGGCCTACCAGGAACATCATCGTCACCACACGGTAGAGACCCTCCCAAGGAGCACACCCACCGTCATTTACACAGGGTGCCTCTGGGACTTTACGAATCCCATCCCCGTAGGGATTCAGTTGGGAGGCACGCCTGACCATAATTCCCGTGGGCGTCCAGCTAGAGGAGAGCCCCTGACCCCAGTTCCTCTGGGGTCCTGCTGCTATTATCCACAGCCATGCGCCCCTAACTGGTCCACTGCAGTGTAGTCCTTCCATCTTCTTGGGACAGCTATAACCCCAACCCCCACCCTTGACTCCACTCCAGGTTGGGCCTGGTGGGATGCAGTCATCCCCTTGCTGATCCTGGGTGGACAGTCACTGCTGTGCACTCCTGGTTGGAGCAGGGGTGGCCCAGCAGGCCTGGTGGAGTAGGAGTCTCTACCTTCATCCTGAGTCCCAACCCAGAGCCTCCACTTACCTCACAAATCATTGCTTCTGGGATCCCCCAGCATGCTCTGAGAGACAAGGTTGCCCCCTGGACCAGACAGTGGTATGTGATGAGGAGAGGGGCTCCTAGACCTTTCTCAGCCTGCCCCAAGGCCTGCCCCTCTGCCTGGCCCCTGGGCTCCTGTTACATCCATCTTCACTCATTTCTCAGGGCCAGCCCCTGCACCCCCTCCTCTGACAGGCATCTCTCAGTCCCTCTCACACACACCCGTCCTAGCTGTCCTTCCCAGCTCAAGCCTGAGCCCTACCCTGTGGACAGCAGCGTGCGGGGAGGGTGACTCTTGAGCTCCTGTCCCCCTCCTCCCCAAAGCCTTCCTGGGTTAATCACAGTGGAGTAGACAGCAGCTGCCCCCTGCACAGGTGGCACCTAGGCCTCCTGCCTCCCCCTGGGCTCCAGAGCCCCCATTCTGGCTCACCTCACACAGGATTGGGGTGCTGTGTTGGGGATGGGCACCCAACATTTTCCAGAAAGAAATGTGAATTCTGTGAGGCTGGAGACTCCTGTCTGATTCGTTTACGTTTGTGTCCTCAGTTCCCAGCATACAGTGGGTGCCTAATAGTTATCTGGGGAGTGACAATGTCACAGGTGACTGAGAGGCAGCCTGGGAATGCCTGTGGGCACCCAAGGCTCACCCAGCTCCCAGCTGCCCTAGGCCCAGGCATGTCTGTGCAGCTAGACTACTGTGAGCCTGCTGCTAAAAAGGGGGAAGCCAGAGGAGGAACATCAGGATGGCTGAGGGAGTGTCTTCCCAAACCAGTTCTTGGCCCACACCCGGTTACCAATATCACCCATAGGGGCCAGACCAGAACACTGGGTCACAGGGCAGCCACAGCACAGCCCCACAGGACCTGCTAGGGCACAAGCACCGTTGCCCCTTTGTGTTAGTTTCCTGTGGCTGCTGTAGCAAACCACCTCCAACCTTAAAAACACAGACACACACACAACAGTTGCCGTTAAGTCTATTCCAATGCATGGCGACTCCACGTGTGTCAGAGTAGAACTGCGCTCCATAGGGTTTTCAATGGCTGTGACCTTTTAGAAGTAGATCACCAGGGCTTTCTTCCAAGGTGCCCCTGAGTGAATTTGAACTGCCAACAATTTGCTTAGTTTCCGAGTGCTTAACCATTTGTTCCCCAAAGACTATCCCCAACTTAGAGTGACTTAAAACAACACAGATTCATTCTCTTACAGTTCTGGAGGCTGAGTCTGAAATGAGTCTCAATAGGCTAAAGTCCAGGTTTTCCCAGGGCTACTCTCTCTCTGAAGGCTCAAGGGGAGAACCTGTTCCTTGACTTTACCAGATTCTAAAGTGGCATTCCTTGGCTTTCTCCATCTTTAAAGCTAGCAGGGTAGCATCTTTAAATCTTTCTCTGACATTCCTACCTCCCTGTTTTAGATAAGGACCCTCCTGGTAACATTTATGGCCCACCTTGATAATCCAGGATAATCTCATTTCAAGGTTCTTAATCACATGTGCAAAGTCCATCTTGCCATATAAGGTAACACATTCACAGGGTCCAGGGATTAAGACCTGGATATCTTTCTGTTGGGCCGTGGAGTTGATTCTGATTCATAGTGACCCTATAAGACAGAGTAGAACTGCCCCATAGGGTTTCCTACGCTGTAATCTTTACCGGAGCAGATCACCAGGTCTTTTCTCCCGAAGAACTGCTGGTGGGTTCGAACTGCCTACCTTTTGGTTAGCAACAGAGCACTTAACTATTGCACCACCAGGGCTCCTTTGGCTATCTTTAGGGGCTATTATTTCACTTACCACTGGATCCCAGGGGTCCATTCCCCTCCTCATCACTTCCTTCCTCCATCCCAGGCTGGGTGGGTGACAGTGGACCTGGCCCAGATGAACTGAGCCAGGGGGCTCAAAAAAGGGGCTGCTGGCTGTCAGTGCACAGAAGAGGAAGAGAGGATGCTGCCTGTCCGGGGCTGGTCAGGGAAGACTGCCTGGAGGAGAGGACCTCAGAGCTGTATCCTCAAGCTTGCTCAGGAGAAATGACAGCTGACATTTAGGTGGGAGGCACAGCCTGCACAAAGGGGCAGCAAGATGGTGGCTAAGGGCAATGAATGGGGCTGCTTCCCTCCTGATCAGTCCTAACCTGCTCCCTTGCATCGGCTACTGGGATGTGTGGAAACCTGTACCTCAATCTCCTCTCCTGTAAAACGAGGCCGATGACAGAGCCCATGGGTCTCTGAGCATCCCTGTCTGCCAATTACTACGTCAGTGCCTGCCCACCCACTGCACGTGACAAAGATGGCTGCCTCAAAGCCACCCCCGGGCCAGGACCATGGTGGACTCTCCCCACACTTGCCCGCTAGCCTGTGACCACATTACCCACATCTCCTCCTCAGGCCCCTGGAGCTGGGTCCTCTCAGCCCTCCCTGTGCCCATTCCCAGATCACACTGGACACTGTCCTCGGGTACCCTGGCCTGGGCACCTCTGTCCCAGGCTTGCTTCTTTCCCAGGTCTCCGAGCCTTGAATGATGCCTAGGGAGGGAGCCAGCTTCAGTGGCTGACACGGTGTCAGGGTAAGTCCCTGTCTGTACCCGCCAGACCTTGGTTCCCCCTTCTGTAAAATGGGTGACAATAAACACTCTACTTGCACGAAGAATTCATTCATCCACAAATGCTCGTTGAGCACTTGCTGTGTACCAGGGGTGCACGGAGGCACCTAGGGAACAAGGAGGGCACTCACGTGGAAGATGATGTCCAGAGGGCTGAGAGCAGAGCCACCGTTCTGGCCGCACTGCCCCCTACACCTTTGCTCATTCAACCCCCAACTCCCCAGGCCTTCCCCAGGTCCTGCCCTCCAGGAGTGATGCTAGGGGCTCTATTCTACGGTAATTCACCACCACTCCTCACGCAAGTCTGGGAGGCCCCTGTCCACTCCAGATCCGTGCCTGGCCATAGGGGCATCCTCTGGTGGCCAGGCCGATAGACCAGCGGTCGGAGGATGGGGGTGACCTCGCAAGACCCTAGGAGTGGCGGTGTCCAGACTGACAGACGGGGGAAACTGAGGCTGGCAAGTAGGGCAGGGCGCAGACTCGAACCCCTGCAAAACCTCTTCTCCTGTCAGTCCAAAGCTCGGGCAAGGTAGCCTCGTTTTGCCCTATTTCCCTGGCCCCACATTTTTCTTTGTGGCCTCAGTTCTGTCAAGATCTTCCCTAGAATGAGGAGAAATCGTCAGGAAACGCAGACCATAGAGAGACCGTACTGAAGGTTGGGGCTGGACTGTCTTGCTACAGCAACCAGGTCCGCCTTAGCCTCCCCACGGTGTGAGGTAGTGCGTGCCTATAGCCTAGGTGGGAGGAAAAGCCCAAGTTACGTAGTGGTTAAGAGTTTGGCTGCTACTCAAACGGTCGGCAGTTCGAATCCACCAGCCGCTCCTTGGAAACCGTATGAGGCAGTTCTGTTCTGTCCTAGAGGGTTTCCAAGGAGCAGATGGGAGGAACTACGAGAGCATGCTAGATCTGGTAGCCAGTCAAGAGCCTGGGGCCGGCGTTGCTATGGCGACCAAGGGGCGTGTGGGCCCGACTGAGCGAGCATCCCAGAAGTGTAACTGCCAGGAGGCGAGAGTAGGGAAGGAAGACTTTGACACGGGGGACAGAGGCGAGAGAACTGAGGCTGCGTGGCCGCGAGAGGAGAGAGAACGCAACAGCAAACAAAAGACCCAGCTACCTCAAATGTTTTAAAGGGTAAGAGGAAGAACACCATAAGCATAAGAAAAGGAGCTCATTGAGCAGCCCCATGCACAGAAGAAACAAGTCCTCAAGTAGTAGAGGGCAGGATGGACAAGGAATAAATTATATTTTAACACATATTCATATTGTTATAAATTTTAATTCAGATAAATTTTAACATAGTGTATGGTTATGAATATATTTTAGCATAGATTTTAACAGATAAGATTATACTTATAAATAAATGTTATGGTAGTCAAATTTCAAGACAGCTAGGTTATATCCTTAAGAGTGGAGTTAAATGCAAGAGACCCAGGTGTGGCCCTGATGGGCCTGAGAAGGGGGCTGAGAGGAACAAGATCCAGGCCTCTCCAGACAAGGTAGGTCATTATCAACCTGTGTAGTGAGCTCTGGTAAGCTCTTGTTAACAGTAACCCCACCTGCAGAACTGGTATTATAGACTGAATTGTGTTCCCCAAAAATGTGTATTACCTTGGCTAGGCCATGTTTCCCAGTATTGTGTGGTTGTCCCCCATTTTGTGATCTGATGTGATTTTCCTGTGTTGTAAATCCTAACCTCTATGATGTTAATGAGCCAGGATTAGAGACAGTTATGTTAATGAGGCAGGACACAATCTATAGGATTAGGTTGTATCTTGAGTCAATCTCTTTTGAGATGTGAGCAGAGAGGAGGGGGATCTCATTACCACCAAGCCAGAAGAGCCAGAAGCAGACCACATGCTTTGGACCCGGGGTCCCTGTGCTGAGAAGATCCTAGACCAGGGGAAGATTGATGACAAGGACCTTCCCCCAGAGCCAACAGAGAGAAAGCCTTCCCCTGGAGCTGGTGCCCTGAATTCAGACTTCTAGCCTCCTGAACTATGAGAGAATAAATTTGTTTTGCTAAAGCCATCCACTTTTGGTATTTCTGTTATAGCAGCACTAGGTAACTAAGACACCCGGCAAGCCTGGTACTGGAGGATCCACTTCCAAGATGGCTCACTCACGTGGCTATTGGCAGGAGGCCTCAGTTCCTTGCCATGTGAACTACTCCAGAGGGCTGCTTGAGTGTGTTCACAACATTCCGCTGACTCCCCAGAGTGAGTGAGCTAAGAAAGAACAAGGTGGAAGACACAATGTATTTTGCGACCTAATCTTGGAAGTCACACACCATAACTTCTGCCACATTTTGTTCATTAGAGGTGAGACACTGAGTTTGGCCCACACTCAAGGTAAGGGAAATCTGGGTCAACCTTTTGAAAAATGGAGTGGTAAAGACTTTGCAGACATTTAAAACCACAACAGGCTGACACTAGTTTGGCTTTATTTGTTGGCAGAGGCCAGCCCCCACACTGCCTAAAGTGTAGTCACTGACAAGGTCCTTTGCCTTCCTTCTTCAGCCAAGCAGGCCTGTGCCACTCCTTTGGGCCTGCTCTCTCATAAGAGTCTCAGGTCCCTGGTTGAGGGTGAATCCCCAGGGGGCAACTTTCAACCTTTCTGTGAATGTAGGAGAGGTGGGGGAGAAACCAATGCCCAGTAAGTGGAGACAGCATTAGAGCCAAGGAAAAGATAAAGAAGAGTGACTTTAGCTTTGGTCCGTTATCCATCACCAGGCCCCCAAATGTTGAGGGGAAAGGAATGGAGCTGTGGATGTTGGAGGACAGAAGAAGGTGGTGGTATTAGAACAGCTGACTATTTCCCAGACCCCTTGCACCGTAATGTTGGAGGATGTGGACTGAAGAGTCACAGTGGTTTAGAGCTGTACTGACCCTTTCTCCAGTCACCTGCAGTGTTTCCAGGTCATCACTGGGAGAGTGCAGGCAGAGTGGCCAAGTGGCACAGGTACCAGGGACCAGCTGGCCCATCACCAAACATGTCAGGTATCAGAGATCCATGCAGGCAGCTGGCACTGGAACTGCAGACTCAGGCCCCTGCCCAATGCTGCCTAGTGCCAGCTGGTGCTGATTCAGGGGCCTGATGAGGCACCCAGCCCACTCATCTGTTTCCGCAGCAGGAGCGTTTTGTGCCAGGGCCTGTCCTGTCCAGCAGACCTTGGTGAGCCTCTGCAGGCCAGTCTGCACAGCTGGCCACCCCAGTCAGCCATTTCCGCTGTGCTGTAAATGGTTGACTCACTAGGCTTGGCGTACTCAAACCCTGCACATTCCTGAGAAAGGACTGGTCCTTGACTGGCTCCTGGGAATGGAACTCTAAGCCCTTGGAATATCCTAATATGAGGGTCTTTGTCTACCTGGGACTTTGGGCACCGCCAGATAGTTTATTCTATGTGATTTACATTGAGGGTCTTGGGCCACGCTCTATCAGTTTGTCCTCTGGACTTGCTGGAGATTGAGTAACCAAGATCAGCCACACAGCCGGGGGCAAGCACGGGCTGAGGACCCCCACTCGCAGTGCCGCCTGATGGCCCCAGGGTGCCATCCCCTCTATGGCCTGGGAGAGGAGACATTCGCCGCGGTCACTGTGCATAGAAGCGTACGGAGGCGGGACCTTCTCAACATTTGCGCTTTCCGCTCCCAGCCGGAGATCCCGGCCCTCCTCTTGGTGTGCACTGCGGCGTGAGTTGCCAAAGCAACGCTCAGAGCCAACGCCGGAAGTCCAGCCCCCACCTTGGTCGTCATTGGACAATGTCAGCAGGACCCTAAAGGAAATGCCACTCTCTTCAGTCGTCATTGGCCAGCCTCGGGACGTAGGCGCAGTGTCTACCGGGCAATGTAGTTCCCGGCGCGGGGACAGGCCCCGAGAAGGGGGCCGTCTCACCTGGGGACTACACCTGCGGGAGGAGAAGGGGCAAGGTCCCTCCCCGCACCTTTGTCCGAGCAGTGACCCCCCCCCAACACGCACACCGGCCCTGCCTCCGTAAGACTCGTAGTTCTGACTGTATGACCGGCGGCCTTGCGCAGGGAGTGTCCATCCAACGCCCGCCTAGGCCGCGACCTCTCTGGGATCTCCCCACCCGCCTTCACTCCGGCGCCCCCCGCAGGCGGAACGCTGGGTCTTGCGCGCGTTTTACACGATGTGGGGTGGGGATTGAGGTCACTCGTCCCTTAGCACGTCTGGGGTAGGGTCAGTGGTCTCCTTGGTCGCCGCCTCTCGCCATCCCGCTCCACCCACAGATTCCGATTGTGGCGACGGCACCAATGGACCCCACCCAGGTGAGTGGGGAGGGTTGCCCCAGGTTCTCAGCCGCTGAGACCCTCAGCCACATGATTCCGGCACCCAGATATAGGGGATGGTGGTGTCCTGGGACTCGTCTCCTCCTCCTACGCTTTCGCTGCTGGGGCCCTGGGGTCACTCCAGCCCAGCGTGCTGAATTTCGGCCTGGGGTTAGGTGGAGGGATTCCCATTTTTTGGCAATCAATGACATGTGGTGTGGCAAATGTTAAGGACACAGAGACCAACATGTGCAAATGCGTGGAGGTGAGGTGGAACTGGGAGTGTTAAAGAAACTGCAGGTCCTCTTTATGGTGTGAATCGAGAGCAGGAGGCAGGAATCAGGCCTGGACTGGCAGCCTGAGGAGCTGGGCCTCAATTCTGAGGGTGGCGGGAGCCACGGAACGTTTGGAGCAGAGGAGGAAAGTGATTTCATTCAGGTGCCTGCAGAGTGGAGACCAGACTGGAGTGAGGGAGGAGGCAGGGAGGCCAGAGAGGAGACTACTCATGATGGTGGCTGCACCAGGCTGGTGGCAGTGGAGGTCGCAGAAGTGGCTAGATTCTGGATCTGCTATTTAAGTACAACCAGTGAGAGAAAGTGAGTCACTCAGGGTCACCTGGGAGAGTCAGGCAGGGGCCCAGGCCCAGGGTGTGGACCAGTGGGCTGGGCTCTGTGTGTCCAGAGGAGAGAGGAAGGCTGGTGGCAGGTGAAGGGACAGCATGTGCAAAGGCAGGGGTGGAAGAGGGCCAGAGGTCTGGGAGTTCTCTGTGGAATTCCAAGTGGCTAAGGGTTGAACCTAGGAACATAGCCAGGTGGGGAGGTTTTCAATGCAGTGGGGACCATTGGAGGTGTGGGCAGGACTGGGGCAGGATGGAATGCTGATTGCTTATGCCAAGCACTCTCAGGGTACCATATGCAGAATGGCATGTGGGGAGGCCAGGAAGATACCTATGGGGTGAATTTGTGGGGTTGTGTTGCAGAGTTTGGAGCTGTGAGCATGCTATAGGACAGTTACATATGGGAGGCAAATCGAAGAGCCCTGGGACCAGGTACTTGGGGCCTAAGGGAGAAGAGTGATCTTAGGTTTGGTTGATTCTGAGAGGTGTGATCTAGGAGACACAAAGGGAATTGGCTTGCAGGACAGAGTGGGAGGAGGGCTGTGTGCTTGGCCTGTAACATAAATGGCATGCAACTGGTCACCAGCCTGTTGTTGCTGTGGGCTGGACACTGTCCAAATGCACCAAGAGGAGAAATAGGCACAGATATTACTAGGATGCTGGGATAGGGATCTGGGGAGAAAGGAGATAGGAGGGTGTGTGTGTAGTGGGAGGAAGTCTAGGGCCCATCGGGAAAGAGGATTTCAATGGGAGATGTGGTGGGACCCTGAGTCGCAGGTCAAGGGCCTGGATATGTCCATCTGTCCATATTTTGGTTGGTTTTTCTGCCCTCCCATTGACCCCAAGGATCAGCTGAACCCATCAATGCAGGGCCCAGTGACCTTTGAGGATGTGGCTGTGTATTTCTCCTGGGATGAGTGGGGGATCCTTAATGTGACCCAGAGGCTCTTGTACTGTGATGTGATGCTGGAGAACTTTGCACTCATTGGCTCACTGGGTAAGTCCCTCATAACCTCCCCCAGCATACTGATCACCCTCTGCCTTTACCCTCTAGGAGGTGCTGTCTGTGCCAGAGCTGGACCATGGGTACTGTCAGAGCTGGCACTGGGCTATGTGCATTTCCACCACTTCTCTTAGCAGCTTTGTGAATAGGGCCAACAGCTGTTGCCCCAAGGCATTATGGGGCAGGTTTCAGGGTTAGATGTTTCACAGTCTGCCCAACAGATCCCACTGAGCTCAGCCTCTCCCTGGCCTGGTGACCCTGCTGGAGTCTTGGCCCCTCTGTACTACAGGTTTGCCCTCTTCATCCACAAGATATTGTTCAGGGCCTGCCTGTGCCAGCCTGTGGCATGAAACTCAGGTACCCACGTGGTCACTCTCTGCAGGAACCTCTCAGCTGTTCCTGCAAGATGCTGCAAGGAAGTTCATTTTGTTTTTTTCCTGGTTGCAGAGATGACAGGAGCTCCCTTTGGTCTGTAAGGGGGTGTGTCACCTGCCTTTTGCTTCCTTTTTGCCCTAGAATTTGCACCTTTCAGTTCCCATGTTGTTGCCCCACTTAAGTGTGATGAAGAGCAGTGGGTTCCCATTAGGGTGGCTATGACTCTGGCCATGGCAAGACAGGCCAGGAGGGGTCCTGTTCCTGGTGAGTGGGAACTGGGAGATGAGCTAGTATCAAGGATGGGCTTAAAGTGTGCCAGGTGCCTGTCCTGTGTATACTGATGTTGGTGCTAAGGCTGTGGCCATACCTCATTCTCATCATTTCTTCCCCCTTCTGGACACCATCCTCTTGCCATTTCTACTCATTCTTAGCCTCTCCATGACCTCATCTTTCTGGCCTGTATGTTCCTCCATTTCCCCTCCTCTGTACCTGTATCAGTCTGAGTCCAGTCAGGTGAGAGAAACCATGCGGTAGTTTGAACAGGTAAGTTTAATATAAAGAACTGTTAACTATATCAGAGGATTGGAATAGCAAGGGATTAGAAAGAAGTAACAAGAACTTTAAAGAATATAGGAATAGCAGATAGAAGAACAGCCACTACTCCCACGGCTGAGAGAGAACACACAAGGAAGAATTCTCCCCAGGGCTGAGTCCAGACTTTGTTGGAGACGGTGCAGCTGTGCTTTACTGAATGGCAGAGAAGTTACTGTGGTGCCTTGCCAGAAGAAACTGCTGGAAATCTATCCTCAGAAACTTGTCAGGGGAGGCTGTTCATGGGAAAGTATCTCACCAGAGGCACTCCATTACAAAACCACATGAGGGGAGTCCTGGGAGAAGATTCTGGCTGTTAAGTACTGCTGACTGTTATGCAGCTGGGCACTGGAGAGGCTGCAGCATTGCAGGAGCCTGGTGCTAAAGAAAACTGCTTGGTGCAGGAAATGGACCCTGGGGAGCTACCATGTGCTGTAGGAGCCAAACACTGGAGGAGCCTGCATGCTACAGGAGTCTGCCAACAAGCACACTGGAACCAGGAAACATCTCTCTCACATCACTGTTCTGCTTTTTAGGGCCTATGTGATTATGTTAGGCCTACCCAGACAATCCAGGATAATCTCCCTATGTGAAGGTCAGTTTATTAGCAACCTTAATTCCATCTGAAAAATCCTTTTTTCCATGTAAGGTAACATAGTCACAGGTTCTGAGGATTAGAGTGTAGACATCATTTTTCAGCCTACCACAAATGTGCAGGTCCCATATGATAAATCCAGTTCAACGTATGTCTCCCTAAGGCTTTGGGTTCTCTCGTCCACATCCTGCCAGGGAAGCTCTGGCATCTCAGTCTCAATAACTTCAGTCCACCACCGAGTCCCAGTTCTAGTTAATCTGTTAAACTACCTCCAGCTGATCGAGCTAAAACATTAAATCTAGTAGTTGTACTAATAAGTGCACCCATATCAATGAATTCAGTTCAATTTGTTAAATTCCACCCTCTTTGATCTACAACCCTTAGAATCCACTTCCACACATTACCCAGGTTTCTGCCAGTATATATTAGCAGACTGTGTAAGCTATCTCCTCTGTAGTGTACTTCTCCCCATCGAGAATGCTGAGATTTGACCCTAGTTACGGGGCTAATGGCAACACGGGGTGGTTGTGGTGGGTCTTGAGGAGGATGGGTATCCTCCTTCAAGGCTTCTACCCTAAGTGAGTTACACAGGGTTCAAGTAGAGGAATGCTAGTCTCCTTGGATACTGGTGAGAAAGTGAATTCCATTGGTAAGGGAGACTCAGTGACTTGAGGTTCAAGACTTTCAGTTTAATTTAGGTCCAGCCAGATGTCCCCATTGCAGGTTTCACAATCCCATTCTTTACCAACCCATGCCCTAATTTTCACACTAGAAACTTGGCCCAACTGTGAATTCAACTGACATTGTAATTCAGCAACCCATACAGTTGAATTTTGTGTTTGATTTTCAGCAATATCAGTCCTGCAGATACAAGAAATAAGAGCTTCTTTTAGGGCTGTCATGGAAGCTCTCTGGTTCTCAAACCAAGGCTTGATCTGAAAGTTTAAGAACCTGAGCTTATTTTTTCTTCCTGTAAGCACTCCAGTGGACTCAGGAGAATCTATCCCATACTACAGCCCTTGCAGTCATCATTACTGCCATAAAAGTCAAGTGCAGGAGCTACTTGAGCTGGTAAAACATGTGCCTCAGTTGGCATTTCTTCACAGTCAACCACAGGTGATAGCTTGATTGTGATGCAACTGCATGCCACGAGTTGCTGTTATCCTGTTTCCCACTGGCAAGTAGCTCAGCACTGTGCTCAAGCCCAAAGGTACAACCAAATGAGTCCCACAATCCAATCTTTGCAGGCTATCTCCTAGCACCATTCTGTATCAGTCTGGGTCCAATCAGTAGAGAGAAACTGCACAGTGTAGAGAAGGTTTAATATAAGGAATTATTAACTAAATCAGGGTTGGATTAATGAGTACAGGGGCAGATGCTGGAGAAGCTGTAAGCGCTGCAGAAGCATGCCGAGTGAGCAGACGGCAACCAGGAAGCAAGACCCTTGTTTTGTGATTTCCCTCCAGTGCGATCTATGGATGACTTAATGTCATGCCAGCTGGCAAAGGAAAAATATTTAAAGAGCCGAGTACATGCAGAACCATATGACATTGATCTACTCTATATGTGACACAAGGCACGCACGTATCATTCTTATGTAATATGGGAACACCAGCTACTTCTGTTCTAGTTGGTTTTTGCTGGGACTAGATACATGCCTTTGCACAGTGGTTGGCTGTCACCAGCAGCCAAGGCCCTGCTGAAACATTCTGCAGAGGAGTGACTTAGAGACCCTAACTCTCCTTTCTGTGCTGCATCCCATCATTGTGTCCAGATCCCTGTTGAGGTCTCACACATTCTATGGTCTGGTTAGGCCCTATCCTGCACCGGCAATTCTATGGACTCCTTCCTGAGTGTAGCTGACATGCATCTGTGATGAGGGTGCTTCCCTCCCTCCAATCCAACACTCAGTTAACTGATATTTCTCTGCTTTCAGGCTGTCTGTGTGGATCTGAGGATAAGACTGCCGTTCTTGAGCAGGTAAAGAGCTGCTGGGCCCATCTGTCAGAACAGCCTTTCACATGTGAGGAATGTAGCAAGGACTTCCTGGCCACCTTGGACTTTGTCCAGCAACAGGGCACTCACACCAAAGGGAAGCTACAGAGGGACACCAGGGAGACCTTTCCTCACTGCTCCAATTTCAGGCAGCACACAGGAGTCCACACCGGACAGAAGCCCTTCAAGTGTAGCAACTATGAGGAATTCTTCCTGAAGAGCTCTGCCCTCCTCAACCACCTGAGAACTCACACAGAAGAGAGATTCTATAGATGCCCAACAGGTGGAAATGCCTTCTTGGAGAAATCGGCTCTTATTACTCACAGAAAAGTTCACACTGGAGAAATATCCCATGTGTGTAAGGATTGTGGAAAGGCCTTCAATAACCTGTCTAAATTGAGCACCCACCAGAAAGTTCACAATGAAATAAAACGTTATAAGTGCAGTGAATGTGGGAAAACGTTCAGCCACAAATCCACGCTTGTTCAGCACCACAGAATTCATACAGGAGAAAGGCCTTATGAGTGCAGTGAATGTGGGAAAGCTTTCAGCCTTGTATCCACCCTCATTCGGCACCGGAAAGTTCACACTGGAGAAAGGCCCTATGAGTGCACTGAATGTGGGAAATTCTTTACCCAAAACTCTAACCTCATTCGGCACCAGAGAGCTCACACTGGAGCAAAGCCTTATAAATGCACTGAATGTGGGAAAGCCTACAGCAGAATCTCCTGTCTCAGTCGGCACCAGAAGATTCATACCAAAGAAAGCCTGTAAGAATGGCACCAATGTGGGAAAACCTTTGGCACCAGAAAGTTCTCAACATAGAGAGACCTCATAAATGCAGCACATGTCTTCAGCTGCATCCCAAACTTTGCAACACTAGAAATTTCACACGGGAAAAAGACCTTAAGAATGCAGTGAATGCAGAAAAATGGGTCCAACCTCATTCAAATAGGACTTATCAGGGTAGTGAATGTGGAAAAGCTTTCCACCAAAGCTCCAAACTTGGTCTGCATGGATGATTTCATGTCAGAGAAAAGCTTCTTCTTCTTCTTTTTTTTTTTTTTTTTAAGTTTTTAAAGTAGGATTTGTGCCTTTGCTGGTAACTGGAAAACTGATGAAATTTTGCAGTAGTTGTTGATCATCCGGTTTTCTCATTTCCTGAATATGCCAGTCCTGTTGATGACTAATGTTGTAGTGCCAGGCTCCATAAAATGTTTTGCATTTGATAACAACATTGGATAAGACGGAAAGTATTGTATTTGAATACAAATGATGGAGTCAAGTACACATACTACTTATTTACTCGTCATTCACTATTCATTCAACAGATACTTAATAAGCAACTATTAAGTGCCAGGCATTGTGGAGGGCCTAGGTGGGGGGGTCATAGTTATGAATACATTATAATTTCTACCCCTGAAGTGTTCTCAGTGTAGAAAAAAGAGTTGTAAATGATGAAAAAACCACTCAGAGTGCTAAATGCATTAGTAGATAAATTTGAGTCAGGTGTTTTGGAAAGCACAGAAGAGACATTTAATTTAGGGATGGGGTCAAGCTGGTTGAGAAAGGAGTCACAGAGAAGGTGACATTTGAGCTACATTTTGGAGGATAAGTAGGATTTTCCAGGAAGACACAAAGTATTTTTATCTCTCTTTTATAATGAGGCCCAGCCATGTTGAGTAACTTACCCAACAACTGAAGTTGTGGGTGGCATAACCAGACTTTGAATTCTGGATGTCTGGCTTCAGAGGCAACACTCTATGATTTCATTCTTACTGCTTCTAGTCCCTTTAAGATTAGAGGACCTTTCATTTGGGGAGGCTGGAGAAGAAAGCATGCAGAAAAGTCTTCATCCCTGAGCAGCTGCAGAGCCAAATGTCTGGTGGTACCAAGAGACCACCAGTGCAGGATGCTTTGCCAGGCCCATGTATGCCACCCCTGGCAACCACTCTTGTGTATGGCAGTGATGAATAGTGATCTTCCCGGCACAGGCCCAGCTGTTTCTTTCTCTAACAACTGAATTGATTAGAAGGAAACTTTGACTTGAATAGTGAATATTGTCTCATTGCAGCCATGGCTGTAAGCCTGCTCATTTTGGGAGTGGGGATGTTTTGAAAAAGAAATCAACAGGCATCTCATTGCCTGAGTTAAATAAAGGCTCATCTCAGCCCCTCTCTACATGTGGCCCTCTCCTACTTAGAGAAAAGCCTCGTATGTGCAACCAATGTGGGAAAACCTTCAGTTGCAGCTCCAACGTTATTCCACGATAGGATAGCAAATTTACACTGCCGAAAGGCTTTACAAGTGTCTTCAGTAAAAGTTCTGCCCTCATTCATAACCAGACAGTTCACACTGGAGAAAGGCCTTAGGAGTAAAATTAATGTGGGAAAGCCTTTATCCATGGCTATCACCTTGTTCAACATGAAAGGAATCACACCAGAGAAAAGGTTGAGGAGAGTAGCCTTTGTGAGGGAGTTGTCCACCAGAAGTTAAAACTCATTGTATTAGTTTTCTATTGCTGTGTAACAAGTTACCACAAACTTTTGGCTAAAAAAAAAAAAAAACACTAGTTCATAGTTAGGTAGGTCAGAATTCTGGCACCGCATGGTCAAGTTCTCTGCTCATGGTATCACACATCTGAAATCAAGATCCTATGGCCAGACTAGGTTCTCATCTGGAGGCTCTGGGGGAAAAGTCTTCCAACTTCATTCTTGTTATTGGCAGAGTTCAGTTGTAGGACAGGTCTGTTTCCTTGCTGTTGGCCAAGAACTGCTCAGCTGCCACCCACTTTCTTTAACAGGTGGCCTCCTCTATCTTCAGGTCATCAACAGTGCATTGAATCCCCTCTCACATCAAATCTCTAACTTCCTTTTCTTCTACTAGCTGGAGAAACTACTTTTATAGGGCCCATGTGATTAGATCAGACCCACTTAGATAATCTCCCTTAAAGTCAACTATGCCGTGTAACATAATTTCATCATGAGAGTAAAATTCATCATATTCACAATCTTGTGGATTAGAGCAGGAAATCTTGGAGGGCATCTTAGAATCCTACTATCACACTTGTATACCCCAACAGTCCTACTGGGAAGAAAGTCAGTCATCCCAGATCTTGGTGTGCCTTCACTTCCATGAGTGGTCTGAGCCCTTTGAAGTAGTGGTGGTGGGGGCGTCAATACCTCCCATGGACAGGTTTAAATGTGGACATGACCCAGCTTTGGTCAAGATTACCTGAGCTACGGTCTGCTGGATGTTTCCAGAGGTTTTTCTTCTTCATGGACATTGCTAATGCCACACATGATGCTGATATGAGATCTTTCCAGCCTCCAACTTTCCCAACCCAGGAACTTCTTACCTCATACCACCCCCAACTGTGTTGTGAAAAAAGGCCTCATTGTTTAAGCCACTTTTTATCCTGGGGGTTTTTTCATTTTGTTAAGTGGCTTGAGAACAGAATTGTGTTCTGCTGTCATGAAGGAGAGGGAAGGGTTTTTGCGGGGAGTCTTGGCTTTGCCCCAAAGGGAACAGCAGGATGGCAAGTAACAGTTCCAAATTCAGGCTTGGTCTCATTTCCCTCATGGCCAAAGATCTCCTGGGAAAGAATGAAGAGCTCTGTGGGCCAAATCTTGTAGCCTGGATGTCATGACTATTTGTTGGGCCCAGAGCTTATCCTAAGGAACTGTAGTTGTGGCAACCTCCAGTAGTTCCTGGAACATCAGGAATTGGGTCTTTTGTCTACAGAGGATGTATGTTCTACACTCCTCAGCAAAGTTGAGAGGAAGCTGTCTCCAGGACCTGCCCAGGAGCACTGCCACTGAAGTCTAAAAACAAATACAGTGGCCCTCCCTGATAGAAATGATACTATTAGGACATAAGCATTTATATAAAAGAATCATACAAATATAAAATGGAAACAGTGACAAACACTTGAAGGTGGCATTCTTGGTGGCAACCATCAACTCTGCTTGGTTCTCTAAATTTCGTGACCTCTGGATCTGGCCTTTATATCTGTTTCCTGGGGATTCAGGTAAAAAACTGTAATCAGCTTTTACCTTTCAGTAAAGGGATCTTTATGTTGCCTGCTCCTTTTGTGCTGTTATGACTAATCTAAATATATCCACTTCTCCTGCACTTTCCCTGAGTGGAAATGGAGTCTGAGAATTGAAAAAGCAACTGAAATTGCTTTAGTGCCAATTGTACCCCCTTTTATCTGGATTCAGCCCTGTCCATGGAATCATCCCTTTGTGGCAACTAGAGGAAACTCCCAAAAAAGAAGTGCAAGTTGCCTTCAGGACCTGGCCTTTCCCATCCCTGGGGCCCATCTCCATCTGGGGCTGCCTGGGAGTCCAGCTTTAGTCCAGAGTTGACAAGCAAGGTCATTGTAGCTTTATGTAAAATAACCAGAAAATAGAATGACCTATATCTCCATCAACAGGGAGTGGATAAACATTGTAATAAATTCATACAATGGAATCCCAGTGGGCATTACAAGTACTGATACAGGAAACCACATGGATGAATTTTAAAAGTAAGTGAAGGAAGCCAGGCACAAAATATAAAATACTTTAGGATTTTATTTGTGTGAATTCTAGTAAAGGTAAAACCATAGTGAGAGAAAGTCAGGACTGAGCCTGCGGAAAGGGACTGATTGCCAAAGGAATGAAGTTAGTTTTTGTGTGATGAAACTGTTCTGTAACTTGATTTTGGTGGTGGTTTTATGATTGTATACATTTATCAAAACTCACTGAATTATACACTTAAAATTGGTGACTTCTGTTTTCTATATGTTTCAATAAAGCTGATTAAAAAATGAACCTGACTAGGAACATTCATTGGGACATAGATGTGAGTTCATACTGGGTTACTCAGAGTACAGCTGGCCAGTGTATGGCAGTGTCCAAATTTAAGACAGTTTCCCTGTGACATGCCCAAAGAATCTAGTACCTGCACTCTTTCGAGAAGAAAGTGTCCAATAACAAGGTACTGTTGCAATAAATTAGGGTATACCCATTTAAAAATGTTGGCAGTTAACCTTGGTGAAGGGTAAGACAGGACATGATACTCGGGAAGCCAGCACAACTTAAAAAAGAAAAATGTTGGCAGTGACCATGGATTAAGCTTGTTATCACTCCTACTGAGTATTCTTTGATAAAACACTGTCCTTGTTAAAAAGTGGGCAGAGCCCTAACTCGGGTGTGTCTGGGTGACTTGGAGGTTCCCACTCTCTCTGTTCTGCTCCTCACTCGCGAGGAACCTGTTGAACTGGGGCTTGGGTGTCTCCTTGTCCAATGTCTACAACCCAGAGAGTTGGCTCTACAAGCCCCCAGGCTCAGAGCATTTATGTTTATTGAGGCATCTTCAGCTACGGCAGAGACATCTGTGAACGGGTGCAGAGGCAGCATTAGCTGATGTGAACCTTTGGCAGCTTGTACTCCCTCCGTCATGTCTTTTTGCTCACTGAGGCACGACCCCACAGGGTTGGGGAGTGTGTAAGGGTCATTTCTGTGTTCCTCTCCATCACCCCTTGCATGATGTACTCATCACACTGTATACAAACCAGTTGCCTACATGACACACTGTGTACAGACCAGACGCCTACATGACCCACAGCCCACAGGACCCACGTGACTTAGCTCCTGCTCACCTCCTTGCCAAATGGCACCACGAAATTGCCCCCTATACTGCCTGGAAACCGAGGCTTGGGGAGACAAGACAGTTGCAGAGATCACGAAGCGAACAAGGATGAGGCGGCAGGACCTTTGCGACTGTCTGCCCTCACCACTCCGGCTTCGGCTGGTCAGAGGAGCCTCCTGTACACCCTCCCTCAGCGCCCGGCGACCAGCTAGCTGTACGCAATACCGCCAGACGCAAGAAGTAACGGTCCGAGGTTGACGCCGGAAGTTCCTCCTTCACCGGCGCTGACCGTCCTGGAATAGGACCTATCTAGAGCCGTTATTGGCTTTGTCGTTGCGGTCGCACGGCGAGGGTCCTTCTGGGTAATGTAGACGGCCCGCACTTCCGAGAGAAGTCCGCAGGGCCTTCCGCTATCACCTTGGCAACGAACAAGCGGCCCCTCACAGAGGAACGCAGGAAATGACGTCATAAGATAAGGCTAACCCAGTGAAAACTCAGTCTAGGGACGCTTCCGCCCTGTCTGCAGTGAATAAAGAGGGCTCCGGCGTTGCGGCTCCGGTCCTCATTTTGCGGCTGTTGGTCTGTACAAGTGCCAGGAAAGACCGGATCCTGGGCCAGGTCGGCTTCCCTGGAGACCACACAGGCCCAACAAGGACAGAGCTCCTACTGCCCCTTTGCACGCACCGTAACCCTGGCAGATGGCTCCGCCTTCCTGAGACTGTCGCCGACGGAGAAACGGCCGCTACGAGTCTCCTGGTCATCACACCTCTGCTTCGTCCTCGCGGTTTCCGAGACGGTTCCCTAGTTCTCGGGCACATTTTACACGGGGTAGACTGGGCTTGGAAAGTTCCACTGTCAGCCCGAGGTCACTGCGCCCACGGCGGCGGCGGGGGAAGGGGGCGTGTCGGCTGAGACCGCTGATAGGTCCGGGTTGGTGCCTCTCTCGGCTCCGCTCCGCCCAAATGTTCCGATGGCCGAGGTGGCACAGAGGAGTGGAAGGCGCCGGGATCCCCACCCAGTGAGTCCGGGCTCTGAATGTGCCTCAGGAGGAGTGAGGAAATCTGTGGTAGGTGAAGGGTCATCATGTACATCGGCAGAGGAGGAAGACGGCAGGAGATCTCTGTGTTGCGTGTTTGGTACCAGGCTGCTGGAGTGTTGATGCTAGGTGCAGAGGCCTTCACCGCAGGGCTGGGGGATGCCCTTTACAGTGGGGGCAGTTGGATGTGTAGAGCCAGACTTGGGCAGCATGAGATCCTGGTTGCTCATGCTGTCCGCTGTCGGGACGCCACGTGCAGAGCATCATGTAGGGAGGCCAGAGAGATGCTACGGGGTGAATTGGTGGGCTTGTATTGTGGAGTTGTGAGTATGCTGCGGGACAGAGTATGTCCCTTGTGGGCGGGAGGGCAAACCAAATGGCTCTGAGTTAGATACTTGGCACCTAACAGAGACAGATGTGTATATGCTTGGTTGTGATCTGGGGGACACAAAGAAATTTGGCTGGAATGAGAGAGAGCAGGCCCTGTGTGACAGAACATAGATGGTCACCAGCCTGTTGTTCCTGTGGGCTGGACGCAGTGTTCAATAGCACCATAAGGAGAGAGAGGCACCAATGGCACTGGGGCCCTGGTATCCCCTCTAAGTCATGGATCTTGGGAGAAGGAAGATATGAGGGTATGTGTGATGCTGGTGGTGTGGTCTGGGTCTCATAGAGAAAGGATGTCTCCGGGAGATGTGGCCAGACCCTGTGTCTCAGATCAAGTACCTGGATGTGTCCATCTGTCCGTATTTTACTCTGTTTTTTTCCCGTCCATTGACCCCATGGATCAGCTGAATCCATCAATGCAGAGCGCTGTGGCCTTTGAGGATGTGGCTGTGTATTTCTCCGGGGATGAGTGGAGGCTCCTTAATGTGACCCAGAGGCACTTGTACCGTGATGTGATGCTGGAAAACTTTGCACTCATTGGTTCACTGGGTGAGTTCCTTATGCCCTCTCAGAGAGTATTGACCAGTCTCTGCCTTTTTTCCATGGAAAGTTCGGTCTGTCCCAGTGCAATACAATGGGTGCTGCTCCTTGCCAAAGTTCCTTGTTGCGGGTGCTGTGGGTGCCGGAACTGGGCCTTATGCACTTCCCTTGCCTATGAGCGGCCCTGTTAGCAGCCTCAACACCTGTTACTCCAGGGTTTCGTGATGTAGGTTTTGGGGTCAGGTGTTTAACAGCCCAGCAGATCCCACCCAGGTCGGCCTCTCTGTGGCGCTGTGACTCTGATGAAGTAATGGCCCCTCTGTCCTGCAGGTTTTACCTGCTTCCTTCAAAAGAAAATCCTCAGGGACCTCCCCGGTCCAGGTCTGAGCAATGAGTCCCAGCACCCAATATACTCATTCTCTGCACAGACCTCTCAGCTATTGTGTAAGACACTTTTAGGTGGCTTTTTTTTTTTATACAGCTTTATAAAAATATAATTCAAATGCCATTTGCGTTGATTTAAAGTATACAATTCAGTGGTTTTGGGTATATTTACAGAGTTGTGCAACCATTGCCACAGTCAGTTTTAGAACATTTTGTTACCCTAAAAAGAAACCCTGTACCATTTGGCAATGATCCCCCAATCCGATTAACCACCCCTAGCCCACCACTAATCTACTTTCTGTTTCTATAGATTTGCCTATTATATACATTTCATATATATGACATTACATAATATGTGATCTTCTGGGACTGTTCTATCATTTTCTGTTTTCTGGAAGAGTTAGTGAAGGAGCAAAGGATTGATATTAATTATTATTTAAATGTTCTTAGTATTTACCAGTGAAGGCATCTGGGCCTGGGTTTTCTTTGTGGGAAGTCTTTTTTTTTTTTTTTCTTTTTCCTAATTCAATCTTTTTATCCATTATAAGACTATAGATTTTCTATTTCTTCTTGAGTCAGTTTTGGTAGTTTGTGGGTTTCTAGGAATTTGTCCATTTTCACTAAGTTATCAAATTTGCTTCCACACATTTCTTAGTATTTTCTTTTTTTATTATTGTGCTTTAAGTGGAAGTTTACAATTCAAGTTAGTTTCTCATACAAAAATTTGTACACATATTGTTATGTGACCCTAGGTGCTCTCCCTATACTGTGACAGCACACTCCTCCTTTCTACCTGGTATTTCCATGTCCATTCAATCAGCTCCTGACCATCTCTGTCTTCTCATCTCGCCTCCGGACAGGAGTTGCCCATTTAGTCTCATGTATCTCCTTGAGCTAAGAAGCACACTCTTCACTAGTATCATTTTATGTCCCGTAGTCCAGTCTAATCTTTGTTTGAAGAGTTGGCTTTGGGAATGGTTTTAGTTTTGGGCTAACAGAGAGCCTGGGAGCCGCATCTTCCAGGGTCCCTCCAGTCTCAATCAAACCATTAAGTCTGGGCTTTTTACTAGAATTTGAGTTCTGGACCTCACTTTTCTCCTGCCTTGTCAGGGACTCTGTTGTGTTCCCTGTCAGAGTGGTCATTGGTAGTAGCCGGGCACCATCTAGTTCTTCTGGTCTGAGGCTGATGAAGTCTCTGGTTTATGTGGCCCTTTCTTTCTCTTGGGCTAATATTTTCCTTGTGTCTTTGGTGTTCTTCATTCTCTTTTGCTCCAGGTGTGTTGGGACCAATTGATGCATCTTAGATGGCCACTCGCTAGCTTTTAAGACCCCAAATGCTACTCACCAAAGTCGGATGCAGAACATTTCCTTAATAAACTTTGTTATGCTAGTTCATCTAGATGTCCCCTGAAACCATGGTCCCCAGACCCCTGCCCCTGCTACTCTGTCCCTCAAAGTGTTTGGTTGTATTCAGGAAACTTCTTAGCTTTTGGTTTAGTCCAGTTGTGCTGACTTCCCCTGTAGTGTGTGTTGTCCTTCCCTTCATCTAAGATAATTCTTGTCTACTGTCTAGTTAGTGAATACCCGCTCCTTCCCTCCTCACCCTCATAAACCATCAAAGAATATTTTCTTTTGTGTTTAAACCTTTTCTTGAGTTCTTACAGTAGTGGTCTCATACAATATTTGCCCTTTTGCGAGTGACTAAATTCACTCAGCATAATGTCTTCCAGAGTCCTCCATGTTATAAGACGTTTCACAGATTCATCATTGTTCTTTATCGTTGCGTAGTATTCCACTGTGATTATACCATTATTTATTTATCCATTTGTCAGTTGATGGGCACCTAGGTTATTTCCATCTTTTTGCTATCGTGAACAGTGCTGTGCATATATCTATTCGTGCGATGGCTCTTATTTCTCTAGGATATATTCCAAGGAGTGGGATTGCTGGATTGTATGGTATTTCTATTTCTAGCTTTTTAAGGAAGCACCAAATAAATTTCCAAAGTGGCTGTACCATTTTAAATTCCCACCAGCAGTGTGTAAGCATTCCAGTCTCTCCACAACCTCTCCAACATTTATTATTTTGTGTTTTTTGGATTAATGCTAGCTTTGTTGGGGTGAGATGATATCTCATTGTCGTTTTGGTTTGCATTTCTCTAAGGGCTAACTTGAGCGTTTCCTCATGTGTCTGTTAGCCGCCTGAATGTCTTCTTTGGCAAAGTGCCTGCTCATATCCTTTGCCCATTTTTTAATTGGGTTATTTATCTTTTTATTGTTGAGGTTTTGCAGTATCTTATAGATTTTAGAGATTAGATGCTGATCAGATTTGTCGTAGCCAAAAATATTTTCCCAGTCTGTAGGTTGTCTTTTTGCTCTTTTAGTAAAGTCTTTTGATGAGCATACGTGTTTGGTTTTTAGGGGCTCCTACTTATCTAGCTCCACTTCTGGTGTTTGTGCATTGTTACTTAAGGTTTGTATTCTGTTTGTGCCATGTATTAGGGCTCCTAGCATTGTCCCTATTTTCTCTTCCATGATCTTTATCGTTTTAGATATTATATTTAGGTCTTTGATCCATTTTGAGTTAGTTTTTGTGCATGGTGTGAGGTATGGGTCTTGTTTCAGTTTTTTGTGGATGGATATCCAGTTATGCCAGCACCATTTATTAAAGAGACTGTCTTTTCCCCAGTTAATGGACTTTGGGCCTTTGTCAAATATCAGTTCCTCATAGGAGGATAAATTTACATCTGTATTCTCAATTCTGTTCCGTTGGTCTGTGTATCTGTTGTACCAGTACCAGGCTGTTTTGACTACTGTGGCGGTATAGTAAGTTCTAAAATCAGGTAGTGTAAGGTGTCCCACTTTGTTTTTTCTTCAGTAATGCTTTACTTATCCAGGGCCTCTTCCCTTTCCATATGAAGGTGGTGATTTGTTTCTCTATCTCATTAAAAAATGTTGGTGGAATTTGGATTGGGATTGCATTGTATCTGTAGATCGTTTTGGGTAGAATTGACATTTTCACAATGTTGAGTCTTCCTATCCATGAGCAAGGTATGTTTTTCCACTTATGTGGTCTCTTGCAGTAGTGTCTTGTAGTTTTCATCGTATAGATCATTTACATCTCTGGTTAGATTTATTCCTTTATCTTCTTGAGGGCTGTTGTAAATGGTATTGATTTGGTGGTTTCCTCTTCGAAAGTTCTCTTTGTTAGTGTAGAGGAATCCAACTGAATTGTTATATGTTTATCTTGTATCCTGATACTTTGCTGAACTTCTATTAGTTCTAGTAGTTTTCTTTTGGATTCTTTGGGGTTTCCTGTGTAAATATCTGCAAATAGAGATACTTTTACTTCTTCTTTAACAATTTGGATGACCTTTATTTCTTTTTCTAGCTAGGACCTCCAGCACAATGTTGAGTACGAGTGGTGATAAAGGGCATCCTTGTTTGGTTTCCGTTCTCAAGGGGAATGCTTTCAGACTCCATTTAGGATGATGCTGGTTGTTAGCTTTGTATAAATACTTTTAATATGTTGAGGAATTTCCCTTCTATTCCTATTTTGCCGAGAGTTTTTTATCATGAATGTGTGTTGGATCTTGTCAAATGCCTTTTCTGCATCAATTGATAAGATCATGTGGTTCTTGTTTTTTGTTTTATTTATGGGGTGGATTACATTGATTGTTTTTCTAATGTTGAAACATGCCTGTGTACCTGGTGTAAATCCCACTTGATCATGGTGAATTATTTTTTTGATATGTTGTTGAATTCTATTGGCTAGAATATTGTTGAAGATTTTTCAGTTTATGTTCATGAGGGAAATTGGTCTATAATTTTCTTTTTTTGTGCTTTCTTTACCTGGTTTTGGTATCAGGGTTGTGCTGGCTTTATAGAATGAGTTTGGGAGTATTCTTTCATTTCCTATGCTCTGAAGTACCTTTAGTAGTAGTGGTGTTAACTCTTATCTGAAAGTTTGGTAGAATTCTCCAGTGAAAACATCCAGGCCAGGGCTTTTTTTTGTTGGGAGTTTTTTTGTTGTTGTTGTTGTTGTTTTTGTTTGAATTGTTGTAGTTTAAGTGAAAGTTTACATTTCAAGTTAGTCTCTCATACAAAAATTTATACGTACATTGTTATGTGACCCTAATTGCTCCCCCTATACTGTGACAGCACACTCCTCCTTTCCTCCCAATTTCCCATGTCCATTCAACCAGCTCTTAACCCTCTCTGCCTTCTCATCTCACCTCCGGACAGAAGCTGCCCATTTAGTCTCATGTATCTACTTGAGCTAAGAAGGACACTCTTGACGAGTATCATTTTATGTCCCACAGTCCAGTCCAATCTTTGTCTGAAGAGTTGGCCTTGGGAATTTTTTTAGGTCTGGATTGACAGAGAGTCTGGGGGCCATGCTTTCTGCTGTTCCTCCAGTCTCAGTCAGACCATTAAGTCTGGTCTTCTTACTAGAATTTGAGTTCTGCACCCTATCTTTCTCCTGCTCCATCAGGGACTCTCTTTTGTGCTCCCTGTCAGGGCAGTCATTGGTGGTAGCCAGGCACCATCTAGTTCTTCTGGTCTCAGGCTGATGAAGTCTCTGGTTTATGTGTCTCTTTCTGTCTCTTGGGCTAATACTTTCCT